CAAGAGTAAAAATATGACCAACAAATCTATGGAACACAGATGAAAGAGAATATTCAATAAAGGAGACATACAAATTCAAATGGGATCATTTTGAAAATGAGGCACAGTTGAGATATCCTCATATCTATCCTTATAATCAAAACAAACTCACTATCTTCTCATTCTATGATCAGTGACTTCACTCACTACTCACTGCTGCCTTACACTTCAGAGCTTACACACACACACACACACACACACTAGACCATAGGAATTTAAAATTTTTAAATTTAGAACAGATCTTCATCTAATCCAGGAACCATTCATCTGTGGCTTCTGTCATTTGATAGAATAAAGAAAATATGCATGTGAATCCACGCAGAACTGCAGCTGCAGCATTGTTTCCCACCCTCCTCAGATCTGGTACCTGAAGCTGCAGGTATGCATTCTCTGCTGCACTCTGTAATGGGTGAGTGGAAATTCTTGCATAGGGCTTTTGTCTATTGGGTACAGGCGAGTCTAGGCAAAGTACAGACTTTTTTTTTTTTTTTTTTTAGGAATTCAGGAGTGTTTGGTTACCTTGATCTTATGCACTTGGGGAAAACATAAACATCAAATAAAAAACAGCAACTGTAGAGTTTGTGTTAAAGNAAATTCGGTGAATCTGAATCAATGTGGGGTGCTGGAGGTTGGAGGGAGAGGAGGATGACTCAGACTACCTCTCAGAAGCCAAATTTAACTCCAAGAGATCTGTCTTTCACCCATCAAGGAATTCAGGAGTGTTTGGTTACCTTGATCTTATGCACTTGGGGAAAACATAAACATCAAATAAAAAACAGCAACTGTAGAGTTTGTGTTAAAGCCAATATTTACTTTTTAAATTTTTTTCATAGATCATCTTCTCTTCCAAACTTTCACTTGTTTTTCCTTTTAAAAAAAAATAATAATAGAGAAAGAAAGAAATTTTTTTTCCAGGGTATCCAGTGGAAAAAAAAAATAGGAAAGCATCACTCTTAAAGTACTGAAAGGAAAAAAAAAAAACCTGTAACAACCTCATTCTAGCCAGGGAAATTAGTCATTTTAAGAAAATAAGAGACTAGAAAGGAAGACATAACATAAACTCAAATTACAGTTAACATCTGACATAATCTTGTATATAGAAAATATTAATGAATTCTCACACACATACACATGTACACACACAACTCCACTAGATTTAATAAGCAAGTTCAGCAAGGTGCAAGATAAAAGATTAAATCCAAAAGTTCTATTGTATTTCTATACGTTATCAATGAATGATCTGAAAATGAAATTAAGAGCAGAATTATGTATATAATTGCAATAAAATAATAAAATATATTGGCATAAATTAAACAAACAAACAAAAAACCCAGAAAAGACTTTTAGACTGAAAAGTGCAAAATATTGTTGAAATTAAAGATCTGAATAAATAGAAAGATACTCTATGTCTATGGATTGGAGGACTTAACTTTGTTAAGTGGAAATACTCCCCAAATTTATCTATAGAGTCAACTCAATCTCTGTCAAAATTTTAAAATTCTAGTTGTATTTTTTTTTTTTTTGGAAATTGACAAACCAATGTTTAAATTCATACGGAAGTCTCAAGTACCAACATCAGCCAAAACAGTGTTGTAATAGTAGAAAAAAATGTTGAGCTGCTCATATTTCACAATTTCAAAGCTTATTACCAAACTACATTATTCAAAACTGTATGGTACTGGAACAGTATAAACATACAGGTCAATGGAATAGAATTGAGAACCCTCAAATAAATTCATAAATTTATGGGCAATTAATCCTAGACAAGAGTCCAGCAAAAACCATTCAATGGGGAAAGAATGGTCTTTTTAACAAATGGTACTGGGAAAACCGTGTATGTATGTACAAAAGAGTGAAGTTGGATCTTGTCTCATACCATAAAACAAAAAATAACTAAAAATGAATTAAAGACCTAAATGTAAAAGCAAAAACTCTTGGAAGAAGGCATAGGTATACATCTTTGTGACCTTGGTGTGTATGTAACCGGCAGCAAATCCATATGGGTCTGTAGTAAGCTCAATTCTAGACTCCTGGGAGGAAAGAATGTGGCCAAGGGGCAGAAGCCCAAGGTAGAGGAAAAGACCCAGGCAAGTTTTAGAGCAGGAGTAAAAGGAAGCAACGCACACTTGGAAGACGGCCAAGCAGGCGCCCTGAGAGCCCTAAGTGCCCTGTTTAGCACTTGACTTGGGGTTTTACTCATCATCATGATTCTAGGGTTTGCGTCTCTCCTCCCTTGATGTTTTTTCCTTGGGGAAAGCTGTCTGTGTGCTCAGGGGCCCACCAGCACTTGGGAGGGGCTGAGTGCGTACTGTTCTTACTGAAGTTGTGCACATGCTCATTTGAGGCATTTTTCACTTACTAGTGGGGTGTTCCTAGAGTCATATGTTAGTTAAACTCTGCCATTTAGCCCCTGTGCACATGCTTGAGCCCATTCGCCCAACTCCAGAGAGCTTCTTAGCAAGCTGCTGATCACCAGCTCCAGATGTTTTTCATCTATGTGGAAACTGTCTTTCCAGGATGCTGGCTGTGACCAATTATCATCTTTGAGAGACAGTTTAACAACCACCTGACCATCACCTGATGATGACCTGACATTCTGGTGTGTGAGGAGGGGGTCTCTCTTGCCCTGCTCATATCCGCCTAACTACCTATTCTAGCAGGTAGATGTGAAGCAGATTTGCTGTGCACCATTAATAATCCCAGGGAATTGTGTTAATTTTCCAGGGAGAAATGCATGAGGGATGACAGAGGTCACCACCATGCCAACGACCACTTCAGTCCACTGCATCTTGAACTGCAATTTCCATCACTTGCATGATTCATATAACAATTTGAGCAAAGCAACTTTATTACTCACAGACAGGCAGCAAAAGGCAGTGGAAACTTAGGATTCATGATGAGTTTGTCCTCTCAAGGCTCAGAAAAGCTACCCAGGATGGATGGAATCTTGTCTGCATATGCCTCATGTTGCACTGCAGCTGAGAGACTCTGAAAGTGCACTCTGTCCTGAGTTTAAAACCCAGGGGCTACATTTAATGGGTTAAAGCACTGCGGGACATCCTTTGTCCAGGAGAGACAAGAACAGAGCCCAGGCTTTTGCTGCCAGTTCCTCTTAATACCACACAGGATGTGGTATTGCTAGCACATCCTACAGTTATTCTTAATAACTATAAAGGAGAAAAGGGGGATCCGTGTTGCCAGGGCCATCCAGGAACTTGTCCTGCAGAGTAGGCAGTGACTTCTTAAACATGAAACTCAAAACACAGGCAACCAAAGAAAAAGATAAATTGGACTTAATCAAATGTTTTAAAGTCTGTACTTCAAAGGACACTTTTAAGAAAGATAACTCCAAAATGAATATATACTTGCAAATCATATATCTCACCGGGAATTGTATCCAGGATATATAAAGAACTCTTACAACTCAATAATAAAAAGACAAATAACCCAATTTAAAAATGGGAAAGGATCTAAAAATGGAAAAGGATCTAAACAAAGAACCCAATTTTAAAAATAGGAAAGGATCTAAACCGCGTCCCTACTAAAAATACAAAATTGGCCGGGCGCGGTGGCTCACGCCTGTAATCCCAGCACTTTGGGAGGCCGAGGCGGGTGGATCACGAGGTCAAGAGATCGAGACCATCCTGGTCAACACGGTGAAACCCCGTATCTACTAAAAATACAAAAAATTAGCTGGGCATGGTGGCGCGTGCCTGTAATCCCAGCGACTCAGGAGGCTGGGGCAGGAGAATTGCCTGAACCCGGGAGGCGGAGGTTGCCGTGAGCCGAGATCGCGCCATTGCACTCCAGCCTGGCTAACAAGAGCGAAACTCCGTCTCAAAAAAAAAAAAAATACAAAATTAGCTGGGTGTGGTTGCATGCACCTGAAGTCCTAACTACTCAGGATGCTGAGTCAGAAGACTTGCATGAACCTTGGAGGCAGAGGTTGCAGTGAGTCGAGATCGCAGTACTGTACTCCAGCCTAGTGACAAAGTGAGACTCCATCTCAAAAAAAAAAAAAAAAAAAAGTTCTGGAATTCATGGTGATGGTTGCAGCTTTAAAAACCACCAAATTACTTGCTTTGAAAGTGTGGATGTTATGGCATGTAAATTATATTTCAGTTTTAAAGAAAAAGACATCTCAACATGAAAATATCCAAAATGACAGCTCCAACATCAGAAAAAAGAGTATATTTGGGGATCCCTAGGATCTTGATATGAGTAAGGCCATGAATCGTTGTTATTTGGACACTAAATGCTAACATGATCTTATCTATTAATCTAAGTGTGGAGGGTCCTAGAGGTATAAGTCACACACCTAACTCCTCTAGGGTGCCTATCCAATGGAGTGAGATCTTTCTCTCATTATGCCTGGAACAAAGTAGACTTTCACATACTTTTTATTCAATGCTACAGGATAAGAAAGGGCAGAAAAAAACGTGAGGAAGGAAGATCTCTCAAACACAGGCATCCCAAGTATGACTGCAGAGAGTGGTATAGCTAAGTATTTAGAACAAGGAGACATGAGGTCAGAGGGAGGAGTTTTTCTAGGGTTTGTTATTTGAATTACTTATATCAAAAATTCAAGTGGAATAAGCAAAGGTGACGAAAGTGAATTACAAATCTTAAAGTCCCCTCAAAATGCTTGAAACCATTCCTTAGCTGAGGTGTGGGAGCGAAAAACAAGCTGAGACAATGCCAAATCATTTTCTGTCTCTAATTTTCCCTCCAGCAATGTTGGTGTCCACTTCCCTGTCTCTTAATGTGAGCATCTAGATATCAACTCTTGTCAATACCTCCACTCAGCAACAGCCAGAAAACAGAAAAATGATATGAGCCAACAAAAGGAAAATAAAGAAACAAAAAATAAGAATAGCGGTGAGATCAGCTACTTGGGAAGCTGAAGTGGGAGGATTCCTTGAACCCAGGAATTTGGGACCAGCCTGGACAAAACAACAAGATTCCATTTATGAAAAAAAAAAAATGAATAAAATTATCTGGGATTGGTGGCCTGTAGTCCTAGCTACTTGGGAGGCTGAGATGAAGGACTCTCTTGACTGATCCTAGGAGATAGAGGCCGTAATAAGGTACGATTGCACTGCTGCACTTCAGCCTGGGCAACAGAGCTAGATATAGTCTATAAAAAAAGTGAATAAGGAAAACCAATAATATAGAGGTGCTCACTTCAAAACACTCTCCCCACAAACACACACAAAGCCTAGGTTGTGTGTACAGGTAAGAACAAAAGATCTACCATTTAACTGACATACGAGATTTCTTTCTAGAAACCATAGGACCCACTGGAAGTGGTGACCTCACAGGAAGAAGCGTCTTGTGAGAGGCAGCTGTAAGGTCTGGTTCCCTTATGTGCTGCAGTGAGTGCCTTGCCAGCCCTGACTGCAGGCTCCCTCCATGCCCAACTCTGCCATGGACACCACAGTCCTCTGCTGTGCGCTCATCTGTCTTCTGGGCACAGGTGAGTTTTGAGCAAAAGGATCACCATCGCTGGGCTTCATTTTGAGCTCTACAGCAGAGTCTCAAATATACTGTGGACCTCTGTGTTGTCTAAGGATTTTTGTATATGAAAACAAATAATTACATTGTGGAGGAAAAAGCAAAATTCATGTGAGTTTTTAAACGAATGCAGGAAAGGCTCCTTCACTGTAAGACATTCATTCTTCTGCCATTACAACTCTGTCTTATGCAGTCTCTTCTCCTCTGAGGTCTCTCAAATGCCGGCGTCACACAGAACCCAAGACACATGGTCAGGAGGAAGGGACAGGAGGCAAGACTGAGATGCAGCCCAGTAGAAGGACACAATCATGTTTATTGGTATCAGCAACTCCTGGGGGAAGGTCTGAAATTCATGATCTATCTCCAGAGGGAAAGCATCATAGATGAGTCAGGAATGCCAAAGGAACGGTTTTCTGCTAAATTCCCCAAAGAGGGGCCCAGCATCCTAAGGATCCAGCAGGCAGAGCGTGGAGACTCAGCAGCTTATTTCTGTGCCAGCTCAATAACCACATCGACACAGAGCCACGTCCTTTCAGTGCACAAACATCCCCCAGACCTGCCTTGGGGACAGTGGTGGGCTGGGAAAGGAGACGCATTACCTGTACAGAGAACAGGTCAGCTCTAAGGCATTCTGCAAGTTGAGGATGGAAATAGGGGAGGCTTGTAGGAATATCATGAAACATCCCAGGATATGTGCCCAGAAACTAAGACTCTGTCATCCAAAGAACAAAGATTTTTAAGAGCTAGACATAATTTGTCGGTTTCAACATTGACTTAATTTGTCAGTTTCAAGACACTTAACAGAGAGACAGAGACAGGGGGAAAAGAAAAAAAGAAAGAAAGAGAAAAAGAGAAGGGAACAGGAGGGGAGGAGAGGGGAGGGGAGGGGAAGGGAGGGAAGAGGAAGGGAGGAAGGGGAGGGGAGGGGAGGGAAGAGGAAGGGAGGAAGGGGAGGGGAGGGGAGGGAAGGGAGAAAAAAACCTAGCAGGTGAGAGAGAGCATTTGGCTCAAAGGGTTATGAGTTTTAACCCACATCATGCTGCTTAGCATTCTTTCAGGCCATAATCCTCATTCTGTTCCTTGCCGAGTGCCTGTGCAGGTTTGTACAGATGCTAGATTCAAGAACTTCTGCTATAAAATTATAGAACATCTGAGAGATGATGGAAATCGAGTTGGATAAATTTATCTAGAATTTAGGGAAAAGGTCTGGCCCACAGATATTGCTCATTAGAAATGTGTCACCTCAACTTTTTGACTCAGTTAATGTTTGTTTTTATCATCATCACTCAACAGATACAGGCCAACTACAGAAAAAGGTGTGTTATAATTTGCTATGATGGAACAATTTCCTAACATCAAAAGGCAGACAAAGACAAAGTCATTTCAAATGTATATGCAGGCTAAGTCCAGACTCACCAGCATGGAGAATAAACCACAGGACTTCACTACAGGTTTTGCCCTTTGATTTTCTAAAATCATTTAATATACTCCTGCCCCTCCCTCAACTTCACCCAAAAGGAGAAACACCCAGAAAATCTTCCAGGAAGACAGAAGAGGGACACTGGCTGGGGAGCCTGAGAAAAATCCAGAGAGATCTCCCAAAAAAGACCAACCCTGAGACCCCAGCAAGGCTGCAAGGAAGAGGGATGCCAAACTCCATGCTATTTAAAGCACCAGATGTGTAATTTAAAGGAACAGGCTTCCAAAGGTACTGCTTTACAGGGAGAGGAAAAAAGGCAAAGAGGAGAAAAGAGAGTCTTCTGACAATTCGATAGTGAGGAGTAAGAGGGAAAAGGGGGACACTGAGAGTTCCGCAAAACAAAGGAAATCACAAATTAAGAGGACACAACCAGCCCCACTACGAAGACAAAAAGCTCACTAGGGAGTGTGGACTTTGCTAGAATGACGGCAAAAGGAACATGAAACTAGGAATTTTGTAAAACACCCCAATAACACAAAAATGAGCAAGACAAAAGGAAAACCCATACAACAAAGGAAAACATCTCACCTCTGTCCCCTGTTCCTCACCTCAAAGGCAATCATGAGTCAGAAGAAAACGTAAGTCTACACTCCAAACAGAATTAAATACACTCAAGTAAGCAGCTGAGGATATGATGTGACCATCACCAGACCAGGAGTTCAAAAACTCAGACTAGAAATAGCCAACTTGAGAAGACATAAAAAAAGAACTTGATTGAACTCAGGAAGGACGTGAAAGAAAAAGACAAAATTATCCCATTAGTGAAAAATAAATTAAAAGATGACCAAGGGAGAATAAACTCAAATGAAAATTTTGTCAGGACATTGAACAAAGGCAAAGAAACACATAGGAGAATGAGAAGGACATGAGCGACACCAGCCAGTCAGAAGGCGGTCAAAGGAGGCCAGGTCTCGGTGTGATCACGTGAGGGTCCTAGAACTGCAGCGCTGGGCTCTGTGCAGCAGGACGGCTAAGCAGTAGGTTGTCACAGTGTCCACAGACACCGCTGGCCAGACCCCAGGAGTCACTCTCCCTGAGAGAGCTGATGGCACAAAGAATGACAAGAACTCCAGGGGATGGGCTTCTTAAATACCCTGATTTCATCATCACACATTCTATGCATGTAACAAAATATCACAGACACCCACAAATAGATACAAATATTATGCATCAATTTTTAAAAAAGGAAAAATGAATGAATTTCACATTCTTGTATAATCAGAGTGTCTACAGTGCTCCTAAAGTAACTAAAACATACGGTCACTGGAAAGATAAAAACCAATGAGCCAATTGGAGTGAAACTCTGACCCGGAAACGTGAGGTGCCAGCCCCCTCAGCACAGATGCGATGTATAGTTACAGAGTTACGGGAGGTGGGAATGACTCTGTTCTCTGTCCTGTCTCCTCATCTGCAAAATTAGAAAGCCTGTCTTGAATATCTCCAGGGACCTCTCCCCTCTTCATTCCAGCCTCTGACAAACTCCACACATCAGGCCAGGGGAAGCCCCGGAGCCAAGCCTCTTGACTCATTCTCTTCTAATAAGTGCTTGGAGGTACAAGGAGGGCCCCTTTCCACTATGAGCAACCAGGTGCTCTGCTGTGTGATCCTTTGTCTCCTCGGAGCAAGTGAGTCCTGGGTTCAGGGAGAAAATCCTTATCTGGAATGCTGCAAGTTCCAGATCTAAGGCTTTCCCAAGGGACAGCTGCGTCGGGTGCCTCCCTGGGCTGTACTTTCAGCATGTCTTTCTTTTCCAGAAATCGTGGATGGTGGAATCACTCAATCCCCAAAGCACCTGTTCAGAAAGGAAGGACAGGCTGTGACCCTAGGTTGTGAACAAAATTTGAACCACGATGCCATCTACTGGTACCGACAGGACCCAGGGCAAGGACTGAGATTGATCTACTACTCACAGATAGTAGATGACTTTCAGAAAGGAGACATAGCTGAAGACTACAGCGTCTCTCGGAAGAAAAAGGAGTCCTTCCCTCTCACTGTGACATCGGCCCAAAGGAACCACACAGCTTTCTATCTCTGTGCCAGTAGTATTGACACAGTGAAGCACAGATGCCACCTCTCTGTGCATAAATGTGCCCAGTCCTGTTTCCCCAACCAGGTGGCAGGGCTCCTCTGTACTGTCCCTGCCTGCCCTCTTTCCTGCACCTCAGCCAGTCATGCAGTGCAGCTGCTGCCATCAACAGACTGTGTGATGGCAGGAAACTTCATTCAGCCTCTCTCTATGTATAGTTTCACACATATAGTTTTTTAAACCATAGTTTTATATATATAGTTTTTAAACTATAGTTATGTATATATGTATATATATAATTTTATAAACTATAGTTTTATTTATTTACTTTTTGGAGATAAAGTCTCACCTTGTTGCCAGACTGCAATGCAGTGGTGCAATCTCGGCTCACTGCAATCTCTACCTCACGGGTTCAAGTAATTCTCCTGCCTCATCCTCCCAAGTAGCTGGGATTATAAGTGCATGCCACCACACCTGGTTAATTTTTGTATTTTAGTAGAGATAGGGTTTCACCATATTGGCCAGGCTGGTCTCGAACTCCTGACTTCAGGTGATCCACCCACCTTGGCTTCCCAATGTGCTGGAATTACAGGTGTGAGTTACCATGCCCAGCCATTATATAGTCTCATATATATATATATATATATATATATATATATATATATATAATTATAGTTTATAGTGTGTTTTATAGAGAGAGAGAGTTTTTTAAGCCCACTTAGTGGTTTAGTGAAGTTTCCTGCCATATAGGATATGGATATAGATTTGTTATATATACGTTGTATGTTGTATATAAGATATATACCTTTATAGAGATACATACATATATGTACACATGTATGTACATGGTATATATTATATATAAGATATATATGGATATATCATATATACATCTGTTATATGTTGTATATAAGATATATATGAGAGAGAGAGAGTCAGAGAGACACAGAGAAGAACGAAGAGAAAAGTTAATCTCTCAACCCCAAGCTTTTTCCTATTTTACTGAATGCTAGATAACAAAAATGAATAGAAAATTTTTCCTTCCTTCAGGAAGATAATAAAAGCCTGTGGAAAGAGAGATGTAGAAGACAAACCCTGTAATCATAATTTCACATGACGCGTGCTTTAATCAGAGACATTAGTGGAGTATAGGAAATAACATGGCCAATTCTGTCTGGTGACATCAGGAAGGGTGTCAAAGAGAAAGCAAATTTTGAAATGAAACTTATTATTCAAATTTCACCAGATGGGCAAGTAGGATTTCACCAGATGGGCAAGCACCAAAAGAGGGAGGCAGGCTAAAGGAACTATGGAAGGAAAGAGTGATGAGATAATACCAGGAAAAAAAATCAACACTCCCTCCTCCACCGGAATATGGCAATGGAAGAAAATTTGGAGGAATGAATGGAGTAAAAGTTATTGAACAAAATTGAGTTTCTGGCTGTAGTGGATCTTTATTGGACATCTGTGTAGAAATGCCCAGGAGGCTCTGTAAGTCCAGTTCTGGCACTTAGAAGAAAGGGTCAACCCTGTAGGTCTAGTGATTAGCAAGTATGAGCTGTCTTGGTGTGATTAACTTAGAAGATATGAAACAGAAGCAACAAACAAACTACAACGCCATTCACTGCCCAAACATACACTCCTTTCCTTATAAGAAACTCACTGAAGTCATTGCAATGCTCTATGTCTCAGTGTATTTTCAATATATTTAGAAGTTGAATTGAGAAACCCTTAGGCCCCTTCAGGCAATGCATGGTTCTTTGACAGGCAGAGACGGACGCAGCATCAGTCATAGGCAAAGATCGCCACCAGGGGGCAGACCAGAGCATCCTTGGGATTCTGTGATTAGCCAGCTGGTGAATGGAGACAGTGGTCACAACTCTCCCCACAGAAGGTGGTGTGAGGCCATCACAGAAGATGCTGATGCTTCTGCTGCTTCTGGGGCCAGGTATGAGCCTCGTCCTACCTGGGAGCTTGGGTGGGCACTTGCGTGTGTTGGCATGGTAAAGTGGTGGCCAGACAATGTGGATTGCCTGTGCTCATCAGAGGGAGAGTGAGCGAGCCTGCTTTCTAGATGTGTGAAGGGTAAGGTGAGAGCCACTGGTCAGAGCAGATGGGGAATTATGGCTCTAGAAAGACGACAGAAAGATTGCACTAAACAAACAGGATTCTCCAGGAGCTGTGAGCACGGAGAGGGAGTGAGCACAGGCTGAGCTCTGCCTGACATCCTGTCTGACTCGCATCCCACTGGCCTCTCCTCTCTCTGGCTCCTGTTCCAGCAGGCTCCGGGTTTGGCGCTGTCGTCTCTCAACATCCAAGCAGGGTTGTCTGTAAGAGTGGAACCTCTGTGAAGATCGAGTGCCGCGCCCTGGACTTTCAGGCCACAACTATGTTTTGGTATCGTCAGTCCCAGAAACAGGGCCTCACGCTGATGGCAACTTCCAATGAGGGCTCCGACGCCACATATGAGCAAGGCTTCCCAGATGACAAATTTCCCATCAGCCATCCAAACCTGACCTTCTCATCTCTGACAGTGGCCAGTGCCCAGCCTGAAGACAGCAGCTTCTACCTCTGCAGTGGTAGAGACACAGCGCCAGGAGGGGATGAGAGAGCATGGCAAGAACCCCTGCAGCAGCCCTCCGCCCCAACAGGCCCTCTGAGTGCTGAGAAAGGAGGCGTGGAGAATGGAAAACCACAGCTTCCCTGATTGAGACATGTGGGCGTGTGGGGTGGGGTGTGTGTGTATGTGGGGGTGGGGATAGAGAGAAGGAGGGAGAAAAAGAAAAGAAGTGTGAGTGTGGAGTGTGGAGGAGGTATAGTGTTCGAGACCCGTGAAATATCAATAGAGTTGGGCCTAAAGTGGTCACTGGACTCAGAAAGTTCCTTGAAGATGATAAAACCTGGAATTTTGCCCTGACTCTGCCATGTTAGTCAATGTTCTTGAATAGACCTACACATAATCCTATAGGTAGATATGAAGACAGCTGTAGAATCACTGTGCATCTCCTAATAATAAACTTCAGCAATTGGCTCTCTTTCTTGACACCATGCTGGGACCTCAAGACAAAGAGAACCACGAGGCAGCCAAGCAGAGAGAATTCCGCATGAATACGTTACTCTAGGAGAGGGTGGCAACAGCACTGAATAGCATATACTCCAAATTCGTGTTCTGTCCTCCTTGGACCAGGACTGCCAAAATAAAATCCGATCACATTTTCTGTGAATTTTTAATGCCATCATGTTCTCCATGATGCTTCAGCTAATGAATGAACAGGGTAAGGCTGGGTACAAAGAAGGGGCGCAACCTCTGATCCTAGGTACACACCATGTGGTACGTGTCCCTAGGGAAGGTGCTGGCGAGCTGGCTCCTGGGAAAGATGTCAAGGGGAAGAGGAGGCAGAGGGAGCCTAAAAGCCTAGAAGGAAGACCTCAGACAACATGGCTTGTCTACACAGCTGGAAAATTCTGCCAGTAGCTAGAAGACAGTAAGTAGAACAGTGAAAATCCTTTCCTAGGGGAAACCAAAAATTTACATTGATCACAAATCTGTATGAGCCAATAGAAAATGAGCAAAACATATGATCATACATTTAAAAGAAGAAACATGTATCACCAATAAACATATAAAGAGATATTTTACTTCACTGATGATCAGGATACTATGAAGCAAGGCACAGTGATACATAGTTTTATATCCACTTGATTAGGAGAATATAAAAAGGTTAGAAATATAAAATGTTAGTGAGGGTATGGATTCATAGGATTGCTTATAAATTACTGATGGGAGCATAAGTACTACAAACCATTTGGAAACAGTTCAGCATTATCTCGTAGCTGAAGATTCCCATATCCCATGACTCAGCAATTCCACTGCTAGGTTGATATCAGAAGCTCTTGCATACATGACTCAGCAATTCCACTCCTAGGTTTACCTCAGGAGAAGCTCTTGCATACACATATCAGAAGACGTAAATACAAAAGTGTTCTTAACAGCATCAAACAGTAGAAAAACATGGCACCAAGCCACATATGCACTGAGAGGAGTGAATGAATAAACTGGCATGCTCGTATGAGTCAAAGTGAATGAACTGCAGTGAAGAGCAAGGTTATAGGTGAATCTTAGCAATATAACAGCAAATGTAAAAACTAAGTCTAATGAGATTATGAAAAGCATAGGCTAAAAACAAATGAGTCAAGAAAATAATTTTCAGGGCTAAAATACATTAGATCAAATTATGTTGAAAGAAAAGCAAAGACCAGTTGCATGCTGGAGCCAACCTTTTCAGCTCATGGGAGCTGACTCTATGCATTTTTTCCAATTCCAGTGTTAGTACCATCATGTTGTTAGCTTGAAACTGGCCATAGTGAGGGCATTTACACGACAGAAATCAGCAAACACAACACATTATGGTTTGCTTTATTTTCCTCCAGAGAGTTAGTTGTCAAACCTTTACCAACACATTACTGGCAGGGAATAATAATGATCCAAGTCCAGGATTTTTATAAGGCTGGGGCGTGGCAGGAGATAGAATGAGAGAGAACTACCCAGCTATACATTGAAGTATTATCAAGGTCTATCTTGCCTAACGTTGAGGAGGAGATGTTTTTTTACAAGTGCCTACTACATTTTTAAATAAATAAATAACGATTCATTGACAAGCAATACCTGTGTGTTATGAACCACTGGTTAAGATCAAACTGTATGCATATAAAATCAAAAAGAAGAGAAAATAAAACAAATAAATGAATAGATTAGAGTTCTGACAAGAAAAGGATCAAGAGCATTTTATAGTCCAAATCAGGAAGTGAAATGGCAGTGGCTCAACTGCTACCATCCTCATATAGACATCTGTTGCTAAATTAATCACAGCAGACAACCTACCATCCAACAGACCTGGACCTTTGTCAATCCCTTTGCAATAGAGAGCAGGGGTTTAGACACGAAGGGTGAACATGAAAGTATTAAGATGACACTTGGCCCCCGACCAACATGGGACTGCCTGGAATAAGATGGGAGCCAATTCAGCAGCAGACGTGCTGCTACATTTTATCTCCACTATGACCACATTTTACTGGTGGTTAAATACCCCACCTGGTTCAGTCAGATCAGACTGTGCTATTGCCACTGAACCCAGTGACCCATTTTAGTTGTAGCCTTTTACTCTGTTAGTGTTTTCAGCCTGGAGAAAAGAGCTAGTAAAATACTTTTTAAATATTCCACTGCCTCACTAATGGCATGGAAAAGACAAGAGGATTTAAGGCTCTGGCATGAAACAGGGAGACAGTGGTTACATTCCTATTTCATACTGTCACTATTCCCCTCTGCATTAAGCTGAGGAGTATAGTGTTTCAGTGACATTTAGCATGGAGGAGTGCTGGGTTCAGACCTGCCTTTCCCAAACCAGTTGTCTGTCAAGGACACAGCCTATTGCCTACCTACGTTACGTTGCAGGGGCTAAAAAACAGCATTGAACAGCATCCAATCCAAATTTGTGTTCTATATTCCTTGGACAAGTACCAATAAAACAAAATCCTATCACATTTCCTATACATTTTCAATGCCATGAATTTTTGATGACCAATTCTTTTTGAAGTGTTGAACTTTCTGTTCTGATTTTATATTCTACTCTCTGGGCTTTGTTGTAAATCGAGTTCACCTTTCAGAGGCAGTGATGGGTGAGGTAAGAGACTCTTACATCCTCCTTCCCAACACACACACACACACACAATGGAGGTACTGTTTCCCAGTAAAGGAGAAGCATGGGGAGAATTTCAGAGGTTTCAAGGGATCTAGGGTCCTCTAAGTCCTCCATATCTTTGGATAGCCCCATTCTTAATGTCAAAAATAATCCCAGGAACTGGTTTCCAGGAGTCTTGACCCATTTGTTACAGCTCATGCACCATCTCAGCTGTCCAAAGGTGAATATTTGATTATTTACTTCACAACTTCATAGCTCTGCTGCTGTTTTCCCATTCTGGAATATGGAAAGCAGTGTAACTACTTTTAGCTGACCAGTAGTCAATTTCAACTACCCATAAATATGTGAGTGTCTTCTATCTGTAATCTCCTATCTGGTGCCATTTTTTAAAACCAGTTAAGACTCTTTTATCCTAAAAAATGAACGATGTATAATTTCTTGCAAGTAATTCTTGATGAAATACTCCCTGGAGAGTCCGAAGCTCCTGGTTTTGCATATTTAATGGTTATCCTCCTTTTAATAAAAGGTATGGGAATAAATTTTAAATATTATTACATCAAGATGAGCTAGAGTTAAGTGGGACTAGGGATAATAAAGGGCATTTCAAAAAGATTAAAGAACCAGTGCAAACTGTTTTAATCAGGAAATAAATTGGTGTGTTTAACGACTGGAAAGACGTCAGCAGTGGACAGGAGGAGGGGGAGGAATGGGTGGAATACAGGGTGAAACTGAAGAAGGCAGGAAGGCATTGGACCACTCATAACCTTACTGGTCAAGGTAACTGATACGTAATTCACCATAAAGCTTAAGAGGAGACACTGAGGTTTTAAACATTTGACTTATGTAGTAATCACATTAGTGGCTGCGTGTGTATCTGTGTATTTAATCACCCCGGTCACAAAGTGAAGAAACAATGGTCCTTGCAGGAAAGGCAAAATTTTACCTCTGCCCTCTTAGGATTTTTCGGCTGGGCCTGAGAACTGGGCAGATTAACAGGAGGAAAGCACACAAATTATTTAATATAAGTTTTACATCACACGAAAGCCCTGAAAAGTAAAGGAAGGCCTGACTATGCAGTTAGAGTTGAACACACATATACTGAATTAGGCAAAGAGTCACACATTGTGGAAATGGGAAAAAGCAACGGCACTAGGGCTAGGTTGGACAAAGCGACTAGGAAGGTGAGGGTTAGTTTAACAAGCTTTTTTTTTTTTTTTTTTTTTTTTTTTTTT